AATCAACGTGTAACATGTACAGAAACCACATATAGCTATATGGAAAAGGCTTGCCTTATGGGATTGTTTTTGTAATATAGTTTTATTTATTATAACAAATTAACAATTATTAATATATTGTTGAAAACAATGTTCTAAAAATCAGTGATATTTAAAAGAATTTAATATGGATATTATATATAATATATAATATCCATATTATATTATTATATTATCCATATATAATATATATGGATCTCTAATAAATCAAATAAAAGGTTTTTGATCATGACTATAAAATGTTCACAGAAGCTGTTGTACAAAAAATACATAACCAAACTTTAAATATTGATTTCGAGCTTCAAAAACCAAAAACAAAGCGAGTAAAAGCATTAAGTTGAAATGAAATCAAAAAATTGTATCATTTCAAGTGAAAATAGACGCCTCTTTAAAAGTTATAAACAAAGCAAAATATCTTTTATTAAAATTAAGTCCTGATTATTTTATGTGTCAAACAAAAGTTGATCAAATAAAAATGATAAGAAATTAATTTAAAGCTTCAGAAGCAACAATTGGATTATTGTTCGGATTGACTGATGGTGCAATTAATAATCATTTAATCCAAAAACAGGTACAACCAAAAAACCAAATCACTTTACTTTTGAAAAGGATGCAGCTATAAGTCAGATATTTAAATGTTGTAATTCAAAATCAATCGTAGCTACACCACATGTTGTTGATTTGATATGCCAACAATTCAATCCTTATTTCGACGTCTCTTTGAATAAAATCGTGAATCATGTTAAACAATTTCACCACAAAACAACCACTATGGCTAGACCAGAAGAGTTAAAACGGTTGGAATGCAACCCAAAAGACTTGTTGGATAATTACATTGAAATTTCAGAATGGAATGGAATACATCCTGCGTTGTTTTATAATATCGACGAAATAGGATTTAATGGATGGACTGACTCTCAAAAATACGAGTTTTTGTTGATGAAAAAACAACTACATCGAAGGTTGGAATTTGACGTTCATCAAAACGAAGTACTGTTATAGCGTGTTTATCCGCTTCTGGTAAATTCGTTCTTCTGCAATAGTAATTCCAAACAAGTACATTGGAGAAGACATTTGTTTAAATTACCCAAAGTCAAGATTTATTATACCAACACGGGATTTGTTAACAGTTTTATATTTTGTAGTTGGATGTATGACAACTTGTTGAAGTATATCGTTGAAAAACGTAAAAAAGTTAAAACTCAACGAAACAACATGGGCGGTGATAATCAGGGATAACTTCAAAGCTCATTTTGATAGTGATTTGATTGAAATTATTAAATGTAACCACGTCCACATACATTTTTTAGTTCCATATAGTAGTCATCTCACTCAACCACTTGATTTGTGTTTGTTTTAAAATTACAAATAACCTAGAATTAATGAAAAACATTTCCAGAAGGCAAGCATTTTCCATAAGGCTAGCCTGAGGGACTGTACAAATAACACTTCGATTTGTATGAATGACAAAGCAAACACTAAAAATATTATCATGTGTAGAAAATATAATATACAATATATAACAATGAATTGTATAAGTGTTTATAATCGTTTGAAATACATCAAAGATTATTGTTCAAAATGTGTTAGGAATAACATGGAACTCAAATGTGGACAATGCTTGGTGTATTCGGTACCAAATTGTAACTACTGTGAAGGTGGAAAGTGTAAGAGATGTAACGAAAAATACATGATACAATCATTTAAGTTATGTGTCGAACAAAGTGAAGTTGGTTGTGTCAAAGCTTACTAAATGTCATTTCCACAATGTAAAGAAGGGTTTTATGCAATTGAAACTCTCAACAAAGTAGGAAAATATGGTTTTTGTATTCCAATTTTTAACACTCAAATAGCTGACTGTAAATACTCACTGATTTCACAATCAATGTGTGTTGAATGTTTGGATTCTTTCAAACTAAAATATGGAAATTGTTCAGAACCGTTTGACGATCAAGAAAATGATAAAGAAAACAATTTAACCAACACAAAACGAGATATGAAAGGTGTTGAAGTTTCATGTTTTAGTCGAAATAACAAAGGGTGCGAAAGATGTAATTCTGGTTATTATTACAACAATAGTGAATGCGAAATGTGTTCGAATCACTGTGATAATTGTTACAACATAACATATTGCTTGACATGCGATCCACAGTATTACTTGTCATCAACCTTCACATGTGAACCACTTGGGGATTTGTTCACAAAATGTGAATTGACTCTGCCAACCGGTGGTGGATGTGCAATTTGCAAAGAGAAATATTACAAACAAAAAACGGATTGTATTTCTTGTGATGAGTCATGTGGTACTTGTGTTGATGGCACTTTTTGTTTGAGTTGTCAAAATGAATATTTCAGACTTTCAGGAAGTAAAAGTAAATTGTGTGTATCATATGATAACTTGACTAACTGTGAAACAAAAACGCCAATTGGATGTCTAGATTGTGAGGATGGACATTACTTGTATGATTACATTTACAAGAATTGTTCTGATAACTGTATATCATGTGACAACGACCAAAACTGTAACTATTGCATTGCAAACGACTATGTATTGGTTGATTTGTAGTGGTGAGTTACAAAAATGTCGAATTTTGTCTGTCTGCGATTAATTCAAAGTGCGCAGAATGTGAAGGATTTCACAAACCAAGTGATGCCGGGGATTATTATATGAAAATGACTAATTATGGGTTGGCAAATGGGAAAGCCCATTATTAGTCACTTT